GCCAGGATGTAGGAGATTCGCACACATAGCTTCTCAGCAGATCGTAGACCAGCTGGCCTGGAGGCTTGGAAGCAGTCCAGGCAGGGGACATATGAGAAGTCATCAAGAGCAATGGCTCTCTCAGGTGGACTTGAGTAGAATGTTCTCATGGCACCCGGACACTCCTCACATTCTCTGGCCTGTGGGTGGTTTTCTTTGCCGCCCACTAAGGGCTTCGAGTAGCTTTCCAGCCAACACACAAAGCCTGGCACTGGGGCTCCTCCAGCTCAGCCTGCTGGGCAGGCTCTTCTACCCTTTCCACACACATCTGCAAGCCCCTGCTGTTGGAGTCCATGGAGACAGGACCTGGGCCAATAAAACATCTCTGCATATTGAAAGCACTTCCAAATACCACTTCTTTTGCAAGCAATGGCTGCTAAAAGCTGAACCACACCAAAGTAGATACTCCCTCTCTGCATGGTCTTGGAAGGGAGTGGAGCTGCTATGAAAACAATTCACCACTGAAGCTTTCCCTGGTGCCAGTCTTGCTTTCTAGTTTCTAAAGTTACAATTTTTTTTTTTTTTTTTAAGACTGAGTTTTGCTCTTGTTGCCCAGGCTGGAGTGCAATGGAGTGATCTCGGCTCACTTCAACCTCCGCCTTCCAGGTTCAAGCAATTCTCCTGCCTCAAACTCCTGAGTAGCTGGGATTATGGCCATGCACCACCATACACGGCTAATTTTTTGTGTTTTCAGTACATATGGTGTTTCTCCATGTTAGTCAGGCTGATCTCGAACTCCCAACCTCAGGTGATCTGCCCATCTCGGCCTCCCAAAGTGCTGGGATTAACAGGCGTTAGCCACCATACCTGGTCTGAAGTTCATTTCTATGTTAAAAAAAAAAAAAAAAAGGTACCCTGTGTTTTCACCAGAGAGAGAAGGGAGAAGGAACCTTGGTTGATTCTCTGTCTGTGGCAAGCGCAAGATCTATCTTACCAGTTTCAGCTCATTTAGCAACCTGCTCTCTGAGGACTTCACAGATGGGGAAACTAAGCTCAGAAGGGTGAAGGAACTTGTCTGTAGTCACATGTGTCAGCCACAGAGGCAACTGCAAACCCAGATCTATCTGGTTTTCTTTGCTTTGTTGACTATGATGTAGATGTTAAACAACTGGCTTTCCAAAGAAAAGTAGTAACAATCATAGCATAACACCCCTTAACATCTTTGTGGCCCTCTACAGTATACAAGATACCTTTCCACCGGGCGCGGTGGCTCACGCCTGTGATCCCAGCACTTTGGGAGGCCGAGGCAGGTGGATTGCCTGAGGTCAGGAGTTCGAGATCAGGCTGGCCAGCATGGTGAAACCCTGTCTCTACTAAAAATACAAAAATTAGCCAGGTGTGGTGGCAGGTGCCTGTAATCCCAGCTACTCGGGAAGCTGAGGCAGGAGAATCGCTTGAACCCAGGAGGTGAAGGTTGCAGTGAACAGAGATCGCATCATTGCACCCTAGCCTGGGAGACTCCATCTCAACAACAACAACAACAGCAAAAGCCTTTCCATTGCTGGGCCCAGACCAGCATTTTGCAGACATGCTCCCTTGGTGGGCAACTTCACTGAAAGTCCGTCAACTGATTTAGGGTGAAGGCTGTGCCAAAACTTCAGCCCTGGGGTTTCTGGGGTCATAAATTCTGGGATGATAGGCTCTAGAGAGGTGCAGCTCAATGACAGCACATTTGGCCTGTCTCTCCGTTTTACCCAGGGCCAGCCTTGACTGATGCTGAGCAAAGTGTCAGTGATGAAAGACTCGTCAACACTGCCTGACTTCCTTCCTCACCTTCCGTCAAAGGTGGTCTTTTGTCCAAAGCTCTTTAAGAATTAGGTCTTATATGCAACTCCCAAGTTAAATTGGACCCAAGAGTGAATTTGGATCTCCATTGAAGGGGGAGCTGACATTTAATAAGTTCTGGAGTGCCCTGGGCTTGCTGCATAATCGTAATAATAAAGACTGACGCTTTGAGCTCTTGCTGCAGGCGAGCTGTGTGCCAAGTGCTTCTTCACTCTATCAGCTTCTTACTTCACAACTCGGTTGGGTACAGGCTATTTGTGGCCAGAGAAATGAGACACTAAGAGATGATATGATTTGCCCAAGATCCTACAGCTAGCAATGGAGGCATTGGCATTCGAATCTGTACAGTCTGTATTGCCAGAATGGCTGCTGACCTCTCCAAGGCCATGTGGGAGGTTTTCGATGAGGCCTGAAGCTCTGCGGAGTTCCTGGCATCTGGGGAGGCCTCTGTTTACATCCAAGCCTTGGAAGAAGCCCTAGGACAAAGCAGCTTCTAAGGACCACATGCGGTGACAGCGCTGTGGTGGTGGCAGCCCGCCATTGAGTCCTGGAGCCCAGCTTATTTTCTCTCTTTTCCTTCCTCCCAAATCCTTTCTGCCTTGTCTGCCATCCAGCTAATCAACTCCAATTGATTCCAACTGATAACATGTTATTGGAGTTTTGTTTATTTGAAGGTCAGTAGGACAAGAATGTGGCAGCCTCCGCTCTGAAGGACCATATCCAAGCACACTTTCTTACCCTGACTTCAAGTCCCAACCTGGATTCCAGCCTGCAGCCTCTGGGAGGCAGACTATCTTGTGCTCACCCTCGTCTTGGCAGCACAATCACATGCTCATTTTGTGCATTTCCCTTTTGGGCCCCTGAGGCCATAAAGTGAATTTGTCTGGAACACAGAAAACACTCAGCAGCACATCTCACTCTGACAGACACTGTCAATCTAATTAGAGGGCTTGAATTATTAAAGATCCCTGGCCACTTAGAACTGCAGGTCACCAAGGCACACACTTGCCTGAGTGGCACTGGATTAGGAAACGGTGGGCTCACAGCTAGCTGTTACTGTGGACCCCCCCAAATTTGTTTGATCATGACTCTTCTCAGTCATGAAATGCCACCCTCCTTTCCCAGGCCCTATCCTGTTGACAGAGCCCTGAACTGGCTCAGGTCCTGGCTTCTGGTCCTACCTCTGCAGTTGACTCTGGGGGTTTTGACCAATCCTTTTTCTTCTTGGTACCTCCGTATTCCCACCTGTACTGTGTGGCTGCAAATATTTGCTTAGGATCATTTTAGCAGCTGTGAAGTGTCCTGGGAACTTTGAATGAAAGGCGCCCTGTTCCAGCTTATGAACCAAGTGATGACTCTGGCCCTGTCCACACGGCAGGGCTCTACAGGAGACAGACTGGACCCATTCATTCTTCATACAGTCCTAATTTTATTCCAGTGCCTTACTGTGGGCTGAGGCAGCAGGGCTTGTCAGAGAACTGAGCAGTCTTCACACTTTCAAAGTCCCTTCTATTTGGTAGGGTTGCTTTTTTTCCTTTTTTTTTTTTTTTTTCATTGCATATTAGCAAAGGTAAAATCTACCATGCAAGAAAAAGAACAATCATGAAAGGAGAAAGCCCTTCTCAAGGGAGACCAGCTTATTAGTCCTTTGGAAGGTCAAGAAGGCCATTTGCCTGAGGCTAGGATTTATACTATTAGCATAGTAGGCACATCTGGGGTCCACCCTACATAAATATCAGGATGTCATTTTTACATTTATTTGTACGTATGTGTGTGTCTTGTTTCAGGGTGTCCACGGTGCAAGACAGCAGAGCTGAGAATCAATAGGATATGTCCAGGGCCTGCTGGTGATGAATGTGGGTGTTTTGGCCCATTTGGGCTGCCACAACAAAATACCACATAGACTGGGTGACATGAAAACAACAGAAATTTATTTCTTCCAGTTCTGGTGCCTGGAAGTCCAAGATCAAGGTGTCAGAATGGTCAGGTTCTGGTGAGGGCCCTTTCCAGGTTGTATATGGCAGACTTCTTATATCCTCACATGGTGGAATGAGGGTGAGAGAGCACTCTGGGGTCCCTTTAATAAGAGCACCAATCTTATTCCTGAGAACTCCACCCTCGTTACCTCCAAATGGCTTTACCTCCTAATCCCATCACATAGGGAGTTAGGGTTTCAACATATGAATTTGGGAAGTACACTAACATTCAGTCCATTGCACTAAGTATTTTTGCTTCTTCAAAATGACTTCATTGTTGCAATATATAATCATGCCTCTGTCTTGAGGCTAAAATAGCATTGCCTTAGAGCTGGAATCTCCAGCTTTCTGCAATCCTGGACCCCCCTACCAACCTCTCTAACCCTTCCCCTCTAGGAGCACTTACAGAATATTGAGTCTCTGCTGAATCAGTTTCTGCTCCTTCTTCTTTGAACTCCTCACTAGCCTTAGGGGCCAGGCATCCCATCCAGATAGCATCCCCAGCTGCAGAGAATCTGAGAAAATTTGCAGTCACTCTCTCCCTCAGGGCTCAAGTCTCTACTCCCAATAGGTCTTCAATCACCATGGTTTCCAATCTCACTTTTCTTCTGGGTATGCAGAGCACAGCTTCCCATTGCTTTCAAAGGGAAGTGCAAATATCTTATGCAAGCTTACTATATTAGTTTGTTCTTATGCTGCTAATAAAGACATAACTGAGACTGGGTAATTTAAAAGGGAAAAGAGGTTTAATGGACTTACAGTTCTACAAGGGTGGGGAGGCCTCACAATCATGGCAGAAGGAGAAGCAAAGGCATGTTTTATATGGTGGCAGGCAAGAGAGAAGTGCTGAGAAAAAGAGGGGAAAATCCCTTATAAAACCAACAGATTTCATGAGAACTCACTCACTATCACGAGAACAGCAGAATGGGGGTAATAACCCCCATGATTCTATTACCTCCAACTGAGTCCCTCCCATAATGGGAATGATGAGAACTACAATTCGAGATTTTGGGTGGGGACACAGCCAAACCATATCACTTACCGAGGCCTTACGTGATCTAGTCTGTGTCTTCCCGTTTGACTTA